GGAACAAGATCTGCAGGGCAAACGCCTTCGGCCGTGCCTACGGTGCAGTGGTCTTTCGTCAGCGCTTTAGCCTCTAAAACATGAGCATATTGCAATTTTGGCAATAGTTTGGACCCAGTTTCTGCTGGGTCTTGTGACTGTGTAGCGCTCTGAGTGTTGGCTAAGCTTCTTGCCCTTGATCCCTAACATATTTTCACTATTAAATTGTGAAGGAAGATGAGTTCCTGCTAGAAATTTCCAAAGTTAAGTTCACGTTGACGGTATGGAAAAAATTCTGTAGCATTTGCAGTGTGTCTTATGAAAGAGACATTTTCAAGTATAGCTAGTTTATAAATGATTTCCAGATCACTTCAGGCAATACGCTTTTAGAAGGCAGTTATCAATGCTTTAGTTTCATAGTGAAGGTAAGGATTAACAGCCCACAAGGCAAATAAGTGTTTCAGTGCAACATCCCTCCCGACCTACTCACTATTTAATGTCAATTCGCATTACAGGTAGCGTTGCCCTTTCAGCTCATATTTTAAAATCTGTTTATTCTGGTTTATTTATTATTATCTGCTCTGATTTCCGTATGGTAACAGGTTTCCTGCATTTGGGTGGCCTTCGGACTGCTTTGTACAATTATATTTTTGCCAAAAAGCACCAAGGGACTTTCATTTTGAGAGTAGAGGATACAGATCAAAACCGAGTTGTGCCTGGAGCTGCAGAAGGAATAGAAGATATGCTGGATTGGGCAGGTAGTTTATAAAGCTACGTATTTCATTTTTTACCTACCAAAACGTTCTCCTGTTTTTAGAGACTGACAGTACCAAAATACAGACTGTTTTGCATGATAGCAAGCTATGTAGTGTTTCAAAAAGATGATGAATGAGTTGATGACGTGATTATTGTTAGGGCCGGGTATCAGGAAAGTCCTACTGGAAGTATATTTTATAGCAGAAATGACTAGGTAGGCTTCTTTTGGCTGCTTTGTCTGACACACAGAATGGTCCAAATTTATGAAAGTGGAACAAGATGCATCTCTAACAAAGGTTGTGCATGAGAGGCTTGATGAAAAGTTCAGAAGCCGGAACTCACAGACCTCAGTGTAAGTTGATAAATTGTTTGTCTACAGATCCTTTGCTAAGAGGGATCCGAAGGTATCACTTCTCATTTTGAATTCTTTACTTCTTTTTGAGAGTTTAAGAACTAAAAGTGAGAGCGACTTTAGAATATAGTTTTATTGTAAGCTTGGAGCCAGATTCCACAGATGTTTCCATTATTGAATAGATAAACTTAAAACAACTTTGCTGTTGAATAGTAATTTTGGAGTAGGTAAAATAATTGGCTAACATGTCAGCTGCGTTTCTATAGTATTAGTGTCATTTACTATAGTAAGGATGTACACCACTTTGCATGTGTACATCAGTATACTTTTTGCTCCAGGTAACACACATGATTTATGCAACTGTTTACTAGGTTTTGGTGTTTTTCTCTCCTCGGAGCTTCACGCTCAGTACTGTAAACTCTAATGTTGTAGGTTGGCGTTTATCTTCTGAGTATAGGGGAATCTGAGTTCTGTGCTAGATAGATGCTGTTAGCTGGCTGTTCTGGAAAAGAAACCGTCTTTGGGTGTTCTCTGGGCTCCTGCCTTTTAATCTTTATTTAATGTGCTCTCATTGTGGATTTCACTCTGCCTGAGGACTTTTTAAATCCCGTCACGTTGATGTTTCAGGTATTCCACCTGATGAGAGTCCTCGCCGAGGTGGTTCTTTTGGACCCTACCAGCAGTCACACAGACTTGATCTTTATAAGAGAGCCAGTGAAGTGCTTTTGGAGAAAGGTGCAGCTTATCGCTGCTTTTGTACCCCTCAGCGCCTGGAACTGCTGAAGAAGGAAGCTTTGAGGAATCAGCAAACCCCACGGTAGGGATTCCTTTTCAACTGAGCAGTTGCCTCTGTGCTTCATTTTTACAAAAACTAATGAAGAATTGTGCAGCAATGGGATTGTAGTATCACTGCCCTTTAGAGGCAGTGAGTGGCCGAAGACAAGAGCAGTACAGCAGTTTAGCTCATGTTTGCACTTTCACTTTAGGGGAAACAGCCAAAGCTAAAGTCCAAGTAATGAGCGTTAAGTCTATTGGGTGCTTCTCCCCGTTTTTGCAATGGATAATAAGCATAACTGGTGAGTATTCACAGACCTGCTGTTCAGGAGGAGGAGAAGACAACAAAACCCTTTTGCATGTTTAGGGGAGTGACCTTACAGAGGTGAAGTGATTTGACTGGACACATAGTGGGCAGATTTAGGATTAAAGCTACAATTTAGGAATCGATTTAGAGTTCATGTAGCTGATTTGAGAATGGAAGAAGGGTCAGAGGGGATTGGCCTGTATGGAACGGAGATGTTCATTCTCCTGTCTCAAAGGTATGACAACCGGTGTCGGCACCTAACATCCAAAGAAGTGGCTGAGAAGCTGTCACAAGGCTTTGATTGGGTAGTCCGCTTCCGGCTCGAGAAGGGTGTGGAGCCCTTCCAGGACCTGGTCTATGGCTGGAGCAAGCATGAAGTGGCTGATGTGGAAGGTGATCCAGTGATTCTCAAAGGGGATGGCTTCCCCACTTACCACCTGGCAAATGTGGTGGATGACCATTACATGGGAATCAGCCATGTTTTGCGTGGAACTGAATGGCTTACTTCAACATCCAAGCACCTCCTTCTCTACAGAGCCTTTGGCTGGGATCCTCCTCAGTTTTGTCACCTCCCGCTGCTTCTGAACAAAGACGGTGGTAAACTGTCCAAAAGGCAGGGGGACATCTTTCTGGAACGTTTTGCTCAGGATGGCTACTTGCCAGAGGCTCTGCTGGACATTATAACCCACTGTGGCTCTGGATTTGCAGGTAATCAAAACAGACTTGGTGTCTGCTAGGATACTCCTTGATGCTGTTTTGGGGGAAAGGGTTAGATTTATTCTAGTAACTTGGACAGTACTTGAAGGAATCAGAGAATGGATGTCAAGCAACCAACCTGAATGTGCTTCTGTCACTGAAATGCCACCAGTGCTTTTGCAGAGCTGCTGTGGGAGACTGGATGGTGCACTGGAACGGTGGGAATCTTTCTATTTCTGTGAAGCCATTTAAGTTGAGTATGATGCCTGGCAGGTTTCCACTTGGGACAACTTTCATCTCTGAAGGTGAAGAGGCTGTAGGTAGGCAGCTCCCTGCAAACTCTTGGGGGAAAATTCTGTTCTGTGATTAGTAATTGCGGTATAACGTGTTAAATCTTCCACGCTGCTTGTTTAACCTGAAAGACTGTGAGGAGTTGAGTCAATTACTCCTGTTGTTGCCCTTGCTGTGTAGGGATCACAAATTAACTTGTATTTCAGGAACTATGCTTGGGAATTAAACCTTTCCTGGGCAGTGAAGCTTCCTGGCTGTGAGTGTTTCTTCTGTTGGGCTGAATGATGCAAGAGGTGTTTCACTGAAGAGTGTAATAGTGTAATAGAGCCAACCAGAATGTCCCGGTTTCTAGTTCCTCACCAGTAGTTAGCAGAGCATGTTCTTGTTCAGAGGGCAGCTTCCTGGGTATGCCTGCTCCAAGTTCTTTTCTATTCACCTAGGTGTGTCCCTGCTTCCTATTAGCGCTGTGAAAAATAGCCCTCCTTTGTCACTTGTTCCTTTAGCGTGCTGCAGCGCCAGCACTGAACTTGAAATTTATAATGAAAAGCAGTGATGCTAGTTCTGTGCAGGACAGTGAATGGTTGTTATACCCTTGTTGGATTATTTTGCAGAGAATCAGATGGGGAGGACTTTGGAGGAGCTGATCTTGCAGTTTGAAATAGGCAGAATTACGACCCATTCTGCCCTACTGGATCTTGAAAAACTCCCAGAATTCAGCAGGTATTACTATCAGTAGTAACTTTAAAACTTGCTAGTCTATAGATCAGCAAGAATTTCCTACTAGCACTTGGCTTTGTCTGGTGATTCTGTTTATCTGATCCCAGTGCTTGATCCTCCAACTGTGGCTTTCTTTGCTGTGCTACATGTCGTTCCTGCTTGTGCCTTTCCTTGGTTGTCTCCCCTCCTGTGTTATGCTAGGACAGTGGTGTCAGGTATGCTGTGGCAACCTAGGCAGATGATCTGTAAACAGAATGCAAGCTCTTAAGTTTACATGGAAAATAACTTCTAAAAACAGGCAACACTTCCAGAAGGTACTTCTAGAAATACTTGCATGCCTTACTAGGATGTCATGCAGCAAAGAGGTACCACATCTTTCCGTGTGGTGTATTAGAGCTTAAGACTTTGTTTTCAAATGTCTATCCTGGGTTTAATGTTGCTTTTCTAACAGTTCTACAGATTTAATTGGTAAATGTTGTGAGGCTGAGATGATGAGATTCAGTCTGACCCAAGGAAGACCACAAGCAGTTTTGTTCTTTGTTACAGGATTCACCTCACCCGCCATATCGAGAATGAGGGGCTACGACAGAAGTTAGTTAGAGAGTTGCAGTTGCTGGTGGAGCATGCCTTTGGGGATCAACGTGTGGATAAAGATGTTCTAGAAAAGGATTATGTGGAACGAGTGCTTCTGCTGAGAAAAGTATGAAAAATGGTAACATTGTGCTGCCATTTTGGGGATGACTGGAGAATGGGGAGCAGAGATTTTGTAGGATTCCTCAATGAAGACTTATCTGGTTTCTCGGCATTGCTTTGATCTGAGCTCTGAAGCGCTGTGGCCTGCAGATAGCAAAGGGCTGTTGTAAACAGCAAATGGCTGTCACTGGCAGTTCAGGTAACTGTGTGCATGCTGCTGAGCTAGCAGAGAGCTCCCTGTAGCTGAGCCTTGAAAACTTCTAAGGATGGGTCCCACCATCTCTCTGGGTGTCCTAGTGCTGTGCTATCCCTCCTAGTGAAGAAGCTTTTCCTCGTGTCTAGTCTGAACCTTCCAGGCTACAGCTTGTAGCCATTGCTTGTGTTTTACCGTGTGCTGCTACCAGGAAGAGTTTGGTTCCATTGTCTTTGTAACTCTCCTTCAAGCCCATGTAGGCTGCTGTGAGATCCCCCCCCCTAAGTATCATTTGTCAGCCTAAAAAGGCCCAGGTTCTTCCACCTCTTTTCACCAGTCACGTGGTGCCAGGCACCATGCCCTCTTAGTAGCCCTCTATTGGAGACAGTCTGCAGCTTCTCAGCATCCCTCTTGGTTTGGGGGACCCAAAAGGCGTGGCCCTACTGGTACCCAAGTAGGGGGGATGCTAACTTCGCTTAGTCTTTTGGCTGTGCCAAAAGACCTCATGTAGTTGAGGATGTGGCTTGCCGATGGTGGAAAGGGTGAGCGCTGAGGGGGCCTGTTGTACAAAGAGACTGCTCTTCTCTAGCTTGTGTTGACTGGGTAGCATAAGGCACTTCTCCTTTGCTGCTGTTCCATGCTTTGAAAGCAAAATGGAAGCAACTTCTTTTCAAAAGTGGTGTAACTCTTAGTGTTAAACTAGTGGGATTTGTGAATTCAGAGTCCTGATCTCAAGCAAGTGGCAGAGTGCAGGCTGTAAAGAGGATAGAAGATCCTGTGGCTCTTTCCAGTGCCAGGAAAGAGGGTGAGCCCAGCTGTTTTCCAGTCTCCTCTGGGATGCTACTGTATTATCTGGGGAATTTTTTTTGAAGAATAAAGCATCCTTTATAAGGCAGGAAAAGACCTCATCTGTTACAACGTGAAGATTTTGCTATGGCAGCAGAGTCTGGGTTAAACATGTGACTTCCTACTTGTTGCACGAGAACTAGCAGATGAATGTGGCGAGCCACTTCCCAGGACTAACTCTGAGTCAGCTTGCGTGTGGTCCTACAGTTCTGGTACAGCAGCCCTTTGGGCTTTTTTCCTACCCCTGTTCACACCAGTTAGTTGAGGGTGTGAAAAAACTAAGCAGGCTAAATGTCAGCTTTCACGTTTCTTCTGAGCACGTACAAAGCACAAAGCGGTGGTGTGTTTGGACTCCCTTTTAACTGTCTGTAAAGTTCAGGCAGAATTAGTTTCCTTCTTTTCTCCCCTGCAGCTTAACCCTCGGTCTTGACAGCTTTGCTTTCTTTCTCCAGGGCCACATCAGTCTCCTGAAAAACCTGGTGTCATCTGATTATTCTTACTTGTGGGTTAGGCCCTCTGTGTCCCGAGAGCAGCTACAAACTATTTCTGCAGAAGCTGATGAAATAGGAAAACTAGTCACAGGGTAAGTGTCTCCTTCCAGCTCCCTCCCTGCCCACCCATCTGTTCACCCCAGAGTTTTCCTGCTTGGCTGCTATACAGATATTGGAAATGGTTATAATTTTTATTTATTTTGCTTTACTTTAGAATGTGCTGTAGTTAACAATGGGTGAGAAATTTTGTGCCTTTTTAATTGAAAGGCTGCTTGCTAGCAGGAAAGCTCCCATTAATGCTCTCAGGCAAGAACTGTCACTTCTAGATTTTTGTGAAGCGTGAAGCACAGTGGAGTTTGTGTGGTAACATGAGACTGAACTAGGTTAAAGTTATGGTTTCACAAGGCAAAGTCTTTAGCACCAATGTAAAATTAAAGCGGCCCCACCTGCCAACCTACAGGTATACCCGTGTGCATCTCCAACACAGCTGTGAGCAGAGGCAGCGCCATAACACAGAATAGGAACACAGGGCAGGAAAACATACCTTAAACTGTTGCCGTTGCCAGAAGATTTTGCAAATCAGTCTGAGGTAGCTGGTAGTCCTCTAAGACATTTGTTTACTTGCGTTCAGCATTTTCATTGGGATAACTCCTGCTGGGATTCCAGGGTAGGAATCCTCTGTCCTGTATGTCAGCAGATTGTCGGGATATCTTCCTTCCCTAAGGCTCATGACAAGGCAGGCAGCTGTTTTGACTGTGGAGGAGTTGAACAAAGACCTGAAAAGCCTCCAGAAGCAAACTAGAGAGACTACATACAGCAGCATGATGAAGCTCCTTCGCTTGGCGCTCACTGGAAAGCAGGTAAAAAATAAAATAAAAGTTCTGAGACTGAGACCTTCTGGTCTTTTAGCAGCCATCTTCTCTGTGATTGCAGAATGTTGGTATTTGGTCTGGTCATCTTGCACGAATTTACATCAGTTGCTGTTATGGATGAATGTGATGATATGAAGAAATTCTGAAAGTTTCAGAAAAGCAGGAGTTATCAAAGCACGTACGTGCAGTTACAAATCTGAAGTTAGAAACAACCCTAGATCAGCTGTAAAGAGTGTTGGCAAGGCTATAGGCTTTGGGCAAAACTAGGTTCTTGCGTGCAATGCAAAATGTTTCTCTCTCTGCAAAATGTTTTTACGAGCTTCAAAAACAAGTTTTATGAAACATGTTCTCAAAAGCCTAACTCTGGCTTATCCTCTGGTATCAATCCTTTTAGTTCAGTTTGACCTATACTGAGCATTTTACTTCAGGGAGGAAAAAAAGAAATTGAATCTTGTCTTTAGACTGCTCGTAACAATCCTACTCGTGATCTAACAGCAATCTGATAACTAATCACTTTGTCATTTCCTGTATAATGATGCATAAACTTGTACTGCAAAGTTTAAGTTTCCATTTGTATAATGACTTCTTGTGTGTTTTCAGCACGGACCAAGCGTTGCTGAAATGATGGTGACTTTGGGACCCGCGGAAGTGTGTGAAAGGATGCACAAAGCACTATCTAGCTAATAAGAGACAGAAATGACACCAGCAGCCATCCCTGGGATTCAGATGATGTAGGCACCACGGGTCGTTGTCCTAGACCCATATGTTGCTGTCACAGTATGATTATCTTTGATCAGATGATTTGGGCTTTGGACCAAGCAGGTGTCACCATGACTTTTCCAGGTCTGTATCTATCTACACTTAAGCATAAGACAGTTTATACAGGAGAGGAACTAAGTACGGATTTAAGTCTGCCCTTGTGCTTTCCTCCTGTGGAAACAACCTGATTTTCAGATTGGGATAAAAAGATTTTTACCTGCCTTTCACGTTCAGATCCAGACCATGTGGAGAGCAACTATGTTATTTCTGATACCAGCATGGTTTTTCTCAAGCAATCGGTCTCTTTTTGGAGGGGGCCTCACAACCGGGGGAGCTGCAGTCACAACTGATAGGTCCCCAGCAAATGGCAGAAGGAGAGGCTTCAGGGGTGAAGAGCTAATGCCCTCTTAACCACTGCACTGTATCCTGCCAGCCTGTGTGAGGAGGACCATATAGGGGAGAGCCCTTGGCTGCTTGTCCCTGTGAACTGCATTTGTCATGTGTAGTTCGGCTAAAAATATCCCCACCGGTAGGTTTGTTTTTCCTCTTTTGGATGGGTGATGATGCATCTCTCCTTTTTATTTAATTCTTTCCCCTGTATGTGTCCCTCTGCCTGGTAATGGAGGAGGAAAAAAAGGCAGGGATATTTTACAATGACGTTCCGTGTCGATAGTCTGTAACTCCATGCTATAATAAAACCTGTGGGCTTTTCCCCTGTTGTTTGAGTGGTGCGAAGGAGGCTCTCCGGGGCTCTGAAGTCTATTTTCCAGAAACGGCTGCGTACGTGTGCTTGCGTCCTCATGAGCATTGTGTCTGAGTGCGTTCCACGTTCACTCATATAGAATAAACGTATTTGTATGTAGATACACCTTTATATACTGATAGGGTTAATATTCGCATAGCTGAGGCGCTGCTGGGAGGGAGCGTGCGCCGCC